ACGAAGTTTGGCCATCCTGGCCTCCAAGGAGCACTCTGGCTGCACTTCTTCCAACACAGATCTGTTTGTTCTTTTGGCAGCCCATGGCACTTTCATTATTCTTCTCCAACACCACAACTCAAATGCATCAATTCTTGTATGATCTTCCTTATTCACTGGCCAAATTACACATTCATATGAGGTTATTGAAAATACCATGGCTTGGGTCAGGCACATCTTAGTCCTCAATCCGACATCTTTGCTCTTGAACACTTTAAAGAGGCCTTGTGCCACAGATTTGCCTAATGCAATACGTCTTGACTGCTGCTTCTATGAAATCTGATGGTTGATCCAAGCAAAACGAAGCAACTTCAATCATTTCTTCATTTATATGGATGTTGTTTAATGGTCCAATGATGAGGATTGTTGTTTTCGTTACATTGAGATGCAACCAATATCAAAGGCTGTGGTCTTTGATCTTCATCAGTAAGTATTTTAAATCCTGTTCACTTTCAGCAAGTAAGATTGTATCATCTGCATATCATGTGTTGTTAATGAGTCTTCCTTTAATTTAGATGCCATGTTCAATTGGAGTCCTTATATTTAAAATATTGGAAGTTTGGAAAATGATGAATACAAAAACCATCAGATAAGGAGCTTACCAATTTTCTAATGGAGGTATACAAGACACATGAGAAAAGAAAATGATATTCAAAAATGTGTGCTATGATAGAGTAAAAGTTTATGTGCTCACTAAATCTTTTTTGTTCCCTTCTTGGGCAACATTTCCCAGACTTTTACAGTTTAATTCCTACAGTATGGTTCACATGGCTAAATGAAATGTTAGTAAAACTGGTGAACTCCATTCCCAAACTTGGCCTATACAAATCTCCAGTTTATGAATCCCCATTCTGTCCTGCAGTGATCCTGGAGGTCACATACTAAAGATAATGGCATCAGAATATGGAAAAACCCTCGGTTCCCGAACGACTGTGAAGCAGACAACACTCCCTACCACCTCAGGTGCTGACCACACTGAACAGTGATATGAAGGAGAAAGCAAACTGCTAGTGTTTTACTGATTTGGGGGATGGTTTGTTACAGCAGTTATATTATCCTGACAGAGACTTTTATTGTTCAAAGATACTCTAATAATTAAATAACAACATAAAGTACATTAAATGAGTCATGTATGACAAAGTACAATGATTACTAGGGTAGTTGTAAGCCTATATGAGTTCAATCCCTGACTCTGCCGTTCCTTAGTCATGTGATGTCTCTTGATCACAAAATGAGCATACTGGACTAAGTGAACTGTGGTTTTATAGCCCTGTTACTATTGAGAACTTTGTCACAAGAGAGACTTTATTAATTGCCAAGCAAATAGCATCAGCAATCAAGCTAGAAATCCAAGAAAGAGAGATAAACTGGTTGAGCTGGTTTGGAAAAGCTTCAGAGGAGAGAAAGCTGAGCAGATCTTGTAGGATGGTTAGAATTTAGATTGAGGGAAAGAAGTAGAGAGCAATGTGAGGAACAGACTGTGCCAAGAAAACACCAAACTATTAGGAAATGTTGATTTGACCAATGTGGCTTAAAAGAAGGACTTAAGTACACAGAAGCAAGAAATGAGGACAGAAAAGCAGGTTAAATTCAGAATCTGGCCTGGATTTTATCTTGCAAGTAGTGACAGGGAGTCATGGAAGGCTTCTGGGAAAAGGATAACAGGATAGCTAGCAATAGTGTAAAGAACCATTCAGATTTAAGGAGCAGGATCTCAGAGACAGGGACCAAGCAGGGAGCTCCTAATATACTAGATTTCTAAGGTTATAAGGAGGAAGGGATGACTGAGTACCATTCTAAAAAACTGATAGATCTCTGTGACCAACAGATTTGAAAACTTAAAGAGGAGATATTAGTTGAATTTGGAATTTCTTAGAAAAGCCATGCATACTAGATTTTACAGTATGGCACAAACCATACTGTTGTTGCTGTTGGAGCTGAGCCGATTTCAACTCACAGTGACCCTCTGTGCAACAGAGCAGAGCACTGCCCGGTCCTACGCCATCCTGACAATCTTTGCAGTGTTGGAGCCATTGCTGCAGCCACTATTTCAGGACTTCTTATGGAAAGTCTTCCTCTTTTTAATAGACCCTATATTCTACCAAGTATGATATACTACTCCAGGGTTATCAGGGGCCGGTCCCTCCTGATGTTGTTGTTGTTGTTATGTGCCGTGGAGTCGGAACCGACTCATAGCGACCCTGTACAGGGTTTCCGAGGGTGTAAATCTTTACGGGAGTAGAAAGCCTCATCTTTCTCCCGCGGAACAGCTGGTAGTTTCGAACTGCTGACCTTGCGGTTCACAGCCCGAGTCGTAACCACTACGCTACCAGAGCTCCTTGATAACTTATCCAAAATAAGTGAGATGAAGTCTTATCATCCACGCTTTTTAGGAGCATTCTGACTGTACTCCTTCCAACACAAATTTGTTCTTATTAGAGTCCATGGTATATTCAATATTCTTTGCTAACACCATAATTCAAAGGTATCGATTCTTTTTTGGTCTTTCTTATTCATTGTTCAACTATTAAATGAATGGGGGTGAGTGACAATACCGGGGCTGAAGTCAAGCTGGTGTGGCGCTGTAGGATAAGCTTTGGTTCAAACCCACCAGCCACTCCTCAAAAACCCCCATTGCTATGAATTGGAACCAACTCAACAGCATTTAACAACAGTAGCACCAGGTCAGGCTCATCTTAGTCCTCAAAATAATGTCTTTGATTTTTTTTTTCTTTTAATTTAAAAGAGATCTTTCTTAGGAGATTTGCTCAATGCAATATGTTGATCTATGGGTGTTGATTGTGAGATCAAATAAAAGGTAATTCTTGACAACTTCAAAGTCCTTGACTTTTCTCCATTTATTGTGATGTTGCTTATAGTCCCAGTTGTGAGGATTTTTGTTTTCTTTATGTTGAGGTGCAATTCATACTGAAGGCTGTGGTCTTTGAGAATCAGAAAGTGCGTCTAGTCTTCTTCATTTTCCATTTGTACCTCTCCAGTAGTTTTGACAAATAAAACAAGTGCCATTTTCAAAGAAAAAAGTTACCAAAAGCTATACATGTTCTCAACACCCTCAATTTTAGAAAAATATTGCATTGGGCAAATCTATCACAAAAGGCTGCTTTAAAGTGTTAAAGAGCAAAGATACCACTTTGAGGACTAAGGTGTGCCTCCTAAGTCAGAGTTGTTTCAGTTATATCAAATGAATGTGAAAGCTGAACAGTAAATAATAAAGATCAGAGAATAACTGATGCATTTGAATTATAACACTGTAGAAGAATACTGAAATAACTATGGATTGCCAGAAGAGCAAACAAATCTGTCTTAGCAGAGAAATAACCAGAATGTTCCTTAGAAGCGAGGATGGCAAGACTTTTTGACTCACGTACGTCAGACATGCTATCTTTTTTAACACTTTAAAGATCTTTTGTAGCAGATTTCCCCAGTCCCTAAAGAAGGACATCATGTTTAGTAGGCAGTGAAAACAAGGAAGACACTCAATGAGATGGATTGGCACAGTGGTCACTAACATAAAACAACTGTGAGGCCAAAGCAGGACTCAGCAGTATTTCGTTCTGTTATACCTCAGTGAGTCACTATGAGTCAGAACCAACTTGATGGCACCTAACAGCAACAGCAAAAACAATATCAACACATTTGGGAATTCCTTTTTCCTAAGATTGGAATATACTCAATGTAACACTTTATCTGTTGCTCAGCATAACTCATTGTTTTCTCCTCTTTTATAATGGCATGCGTGGCCATAAAAACAAGTCACTTCTTTAGGAAATGTCATATGGCACAACAGGCCAATCTTCAGACACTAGTTAACAGGCAGAGGCCACACAACAGCTCCTGAGGTTGGAGGCTGTTTCCTACAGCAGATGGAAGAGAAGACCTGCTGTTGTTCGGGAGAAGTGCACCTGCATCCTGTCCCCAGCACTCAGAAAACTTTTGTCCACAAACCATTTGTGGTTCCAGAGACCAGCATCCTGCACATGCTGACATGGAACACCCTTGCTTCTCCATGCCCATCTGGCCACAAGTGGGCTCTAAAGGTTATTCATCAACACCCATGATGCACCTATTTGCCCTGCCCTCAATTGCAAGGTGTATCCTAGTTACCACAGAGAGCTGCTCCCACCCTTCTGACCTGAGTTCCTAAGAGCTCCACACGTTTCCCCAGTGTCCTCCCTCTGCACTGCTCACTTAGAGAATGTAGATGATGCTGAAAAAGACACCTCCAAGCTTAGCAAACCCTGCCTGTGGAGGTCAGGAGGAGCAGGGTGACCTCCACAAGAGTCTTCTTAACAAAAGAAAAACTGCTTGGGGAATGTCAGCATCATCTCAACTGAGACTTTACCTGGTACACTGGCATCTTCTTTGGTCTTGGATTCCTGAAATTCAAACAATGTAACGCAGAATTAGAAAATTACTAATCACACTTTACATTATTAAATTATCTCTGAGACCAATGGGGCAGTACGGTACAAAGAAACTATGAAAAACTCTGGCAATGATGCTGTTGAATGCATCTGAGGTTATATGTAGTAACATATCCACTTGTTGTTGTTATTAAGTGCTGTCAAGTTGACCCTGTGTAGGGTTTCCGAGGAGTGGCTGGCAGGTTTGAACTTCTGACCTTGCAGTTCAAACTGACATTGCAGTTTAGTGCTTTATCATACAGTGCCACACAAGGACTCAGCATATCCACTTTCTGGTTCAAACGAGACACACAAAACAGATATACCTACTAACATTGAGTGTTAGTTAGGATAAGAGCAAAATCTATTCAGTGTATGGTTTTTCCCCATTTAACTGAATGCCTATCATATGCCAGGCACTGAATTGTATCATTTATAGACATTATCTCATTCAATCTTCAATCCAATGGATCTACCTAGTTAAAACAATTGTTTTAATTTAAAAATTTATTTAAAATTGAGATAAAAAATGAGATAGACATAATATTATTACATTTTACAGTTGAGGAAACTCTTAGTATAGGTAGTATGGATCAATGGCCCGTCAAAATGGTGGTGGTGGTGTTGAGTCAGTTCTGACTCATAGTAACCCTGTATAGAGTTTCTGAGACATGGCTGGTGGGTTTAAATACCAACCTTGTGGTGAACAATCTAGTGCTTAGCCTACAGCACCACTATAGCAAGTTACAAGTGATTAAGCACCCGGAAAAACTAGACCCAAAATTTTACATCCTAAACCACTACTATTGTAATCTCCAAATCTTAACTTTGTAAAAAGCATCTACGCTCAAACAAAAAGTACCCCTTCTTCAGTCTTCCATATTTACTCATCACCTCCTTCAGCTCCTCCACATTCATTTCTCTTCTCTTACTCCAGCTAGCTGTATTTGTATTCTTCAGTCCATTATACTTTCCTTGCTGTGATTCCCACCCCCACACACCTTGGGAGAACATTCTGCTTCCCTTTTAATCACTACCCCTGCTGTGACTCGGTAGGATAAGCACTGGATCACAAGATAGGTTTGAAATGAAAGGTTGGTGGTTCAAACTTACCAGCTGCTCCTTGGAAACCCTATACAGAGTCGCTATGAGTTGGAACTGACTCGATGACACTTATCAACAACAACAAGTTTACTTAAGGAGCACTGATGGCACAGTGGGTTAAGTGCTGGATTCCTGAGGGGCAAGTGCTAAGCTGCAATGAAGACTAAGAATAGATAAAACCTACAACCTCAAAATAAAGTAAAAGCTTATAAACCAAAAGTCATTGAGCTCAGTGTTGCCTTCCTTTTATTATTTCTAAAAACCAAACCAGTTGCTGTCAACTCTGACACAAGGCAACCCCATTTGTCTCAGAGTAGAACTGTGCTCTCTAGGATTTTCAAAGTAAATCACCAGGTCTGAGACCTCACAAAATTGTTGCCAGGCTGTTCTCAGATTGTGTGCTACATGTGTTGGCACAACTCTTTCAGGGGAGCAGGTGTTAGCAACACCAGTAAGTAATCCCTGATGAGAAGGTGAATCTTGGAAGAAGAGAACTGAAACTCTGATGTCCAGTCAGTCTTACCCATGTGGACAGACAGTCTTTCTCCTGCATCAACCTCAGATTTTATTAAAATTGCATTTGATTTCATTATAGAAGAAACTGGGTTCTCTCACCCCCACAGAGGCTGACACTATCTGTAGCCAAATTATGACTAGAAAGAATGATATATATAT